AGGGAGGGAGGGGGGGGGAGAGAGAGAGAGAGAGAGAAACATCGATGTGACAGAGACACATGGATTGGTTGCCTCCCACATGGGCCCTGACAGGGGCCAGGGATCGAACCAGCAACCCAGGTATGCGCCCTTGACTAGGAATCGAACCCGTGACCCTTCAGTGCGTGGACTGATGCTCTAACCACTGAGCCACACTGGCCGGGGCCACCTGGGGCTACTCGTTTGGACTGTGGGCTACGACGTGTTCTCAACCTTGTTTCCTCCGCCACATACGCGGTGAACTGGAATTCCACGAAGAATTAGGAGCCGCGGGTGCTCGGTCTCGGTAGCCAGAAGTGGCAGAGGCTCAGGGGAGATGCTAAGATTCATGTTTTTGGCCAAACTCAAGCCTACAGAGGGGCATGCGGCTGGCGGGCAGTGTAGACGGCTCTGACGCTGCGGGGGGCTCCTGCGGGCTTCCCAGGGCAGGCACCTCGCGGGCGGCACAGTTGGCTGCGGTCCCAGCTGCCCCGGGAGGTCCGGCCAGGGGCCTCCCGTGAGCAGGGAGGGGTAGGCGCGGCCCTTCACCAAGCTGCAGCACAGCCTTTGAAACACGGGTATTTCCAGGGCCGAGGTGTGCGCACTGCTTTCGAATTTGCTTGCTGCTGAGAGGTCTTACCTGGGGGAAGGCCGCCCGGCCGAGTGGCCGCAGTGTGTCCTACACCCTCCTTCCGTCCCCTCTCCTGGGCCCGGTTACAATAAACTAGGATTAGGGTGCCCTGCCCGTCGGGGGGGGGGTTCCATGATGAACTGGGAGGTGTTTTTTTTCATGCCGAGAACCAGGTGCCGGTGGAGGGAAACCCACGGTATTGTCTGACCCGCAGGTGCAGGCGGCAAGCAGGACGTGGTCTTTCTCATCGACGGGTCCCAGCAGGCCGGCCCCGAGTTTCAGCACATCCGCGCCCTCATCGAGCGGCTAGTGGACTCCCTGGACGTGGGCTTCGACGCCACCCGGGTGGCGGTCATCCAGTTCAGCGAGGACCCCCGGGTGGAGTTCCTGCTCAACGCCTACTCCAGCAGGGACGAGGTCCAGAACGCCGTGCGGCGGCTGCGGCCCAAGGGCGGGCGGCAGGCCAACGTGGGCGGCGCCCTGGAGTACGTGTCCAGGAACATCTTCAAGAGGCCGCTGGGCAGCCGCATCGAGGAGGGCGTCCCTCAGTTTCTGGTCCTCATTTTGTCCGGGAAACCCACGGACGGGGTGGAAGACGCCACGGCAGAGCTCAAGCAGTACGGCGTGGCCCCGCTCGCCGTGGCCAAGAACGTGGACCGGGAGGAGCTGGTGAAGATCTCGCTGAGCCCCGAGTACGTGTTCTCCGTGAGCACCTTCCGCGAGCTGCCCAGCCTGGAGCAGAGGCTGCTGATGCCCATCACGACGCTGACCCACGAGCAGATACAGCAGATGCTGGCCAGCACGCGGGGCCCCCCGCCTGGTGGGTTTCAGGGTGTTGTTGCTGTTGTTCTCTGGGTGTCTGGGATATAAAAAAAAATACCAGGCTCAAAGATCCATGGTCCTCGTGACAAGTTAAGTTAAAATCAAGGCACGCCTGCGATTGAGCGCCTTGGGGCTACTGCTTGTGGCCAGGAGGGAGGTGAGCCACGGGATCGCCCAGAGGGGATTCCGCTGGGACTCGGGCTACCGGTAGGTGAGTCTGTGGACGGCTTAGGAAGTGGGGCTTTGCCCGGATCAGACAGTGTCAAGAAATGGAAGTAATTCTATGATTGGGTGTCTTGCTAAATCTTATGGCTGAAGCTGCAGTTGGTAAAGAAGCGGTGGTCACGCCTGTGAGCCGGGGTAGAGGGCCGTCTGGTCACTTCTGTCTTCTTTTTGTCAGTGCTCACCTGGGGTTACAGCATGACCTCATTTTTGTCCTGAGGCATCGTGGCCGCCACGTGGCTTTCCCTGACATTGATGTTCCCCGAGGCCTGGTTGTGTGGGGGGGGAACAGGGTTCCTCTTTCTCAGTGTAAATGGTTCACTTCCACGACTTGCTCAGCTTTTCTGCGTTGTTTCCACTCTCAGTAGTCCAGCGATTGACGAAGCGAAAGGTTGAATTTGTCCAGTGGAAACATCTGAGCAGTTCAATACGTGGCCTCCTAGAATCCGAACGAAAAGGAAGGCAGGACTTTCTGGTTAATTTTATAGTTAAAAAATGGACTCATGTAAAGAAACAGGAGAAGTAATATTGACAATAAAAACTTTGATAAATGCTAGAGATTTGTGAGCGAAAAGAAATACTATGACTCTGGCCCCACGGAGCTGCAGCGGCCCCCTGGGAGACAGGGTTTTCTGGGTGGCGGGGTCAGCCGAGCGGTGGCCGTGGACAAGGAGTGGGCCTTTGACCTCCGCTGTCCCTCTCTTCTTGTACAATGAAGATGTTAGGCTGGACCATCTCAGCCCCTTCCGGTGGTAACAGCTCACGATTCTGTAGGTTATGGTTTCCAGGATTCGTTTCTAACAATCACTTTTATTTAAAAAAATTAGTTGTAACCCAGACCGCAAAGACTAAATTAAAACTGAGTAAACTCAGAAAGTTTTGGAGAACTTAAAATATTTCGAGAAGTGGATACAGTTCTGGTGAAAAGCACCCAATTTTAATGATTAATTTTTAAAAGCCCAGGAGCCAAACACAGGTGACTCGGGCGATAGATTTAATGGTAATACCAAGGCGGGATGCCGTGCAAAGTTCAGAATAAAATACAAAGTTCAGAAACAGAGCAGAAACCAAGAGAGATGCGTGCCGGTCACGCACTGAGCCTCCACCTGTTTTCCTTTTGTCCGCAGTTGAGAGTGACTCCGCCGACATCGTCTTCCTCATCGACAGCTCCGAGGGCATGAGGTCCGAGGGCATCCCCCACATTCGCGACTTCATCATCAAGATCGTCCGCAGGCTCAACATCGGCCCCAATAAGGTGAGGGTCGGGGTCGTGCAGTTCAGCAACGAGGTCTTCCCAGAGTTCTACCTGAAGACCTACAAGTCCCAGGCCGCCGTGCTCGACGCCCTCCGCCGCCTGCGGTTCAAGGGCGGGTCTCCGCTCAACACCGGCAAAGCTCTGGAGTTTGTGGCCAAAAACCTCTTTGTCAAGTCCGCCGGGAGCCGGATTGAAGACGGGGTGCCCCAGCACCTGGTGCTGTTTCTGGGTGAAAAGTCCGAGGATGACGTCTCCAGGTTTTCCGAGGTGATACGCAACTCAGGGATCGCAAGTTTAGGGATTGGAGACCGAAAATCTGACAGAAAGGAGATGCAGACCATCACCAACAACCCCAGGCTGGTCTTCACCTTGCGTGAGTTCAGAGACCTCCCCAACATAGAAGACAGGGTCATGAACTCTTTCGGACCCTCGGGGGTCACTCCTGCACCTCCGGGCGTGGACACGCCTTCTCCTCCACGGACAGGTACGAGCTGTGGGACCCGTGACGAGGGAGTGGGACATCAATATTTTTCAAATGGGAAATGTAATTAGCATTCATTTGAATAATTTTCATCTCATAGAGTTGTTGCTGCAGGTAATATTAGAAATTAAATATTGGAATAATAATTAGTTGACGCTGTAGAAGGAAACGTCTCAGCGTAGAGCCACCGATTTTCCTGTGAGCTTCAGTGAGGCTAATGGAGCCCCACGGAAAGGTCCTAGGACAGTGCCTCGAGGGGTAACTGCAGGCTCGTTGGCTCTCAGAATAGCGCGGGGTTATCGAAGTTGGCCAACCCATGACCCTCTCTCCTCTGTTCTTGACTGCTTGGTATAATTAGGAAATTACCCCGAGTGCCACTGACTTTCAGCAGGCCCCAGAGCTCTCAGCAGGCTGGCAGGCCGCCCTCCAGGGACGTGTGGGGTCTGCGTCCCATTCCCCAGCCTGTTTCTGCGGCCTTTCCTTGATCTGCCTCTAGCACCTGTCCCCCAACTCCTGCCAGACGCCATCCTTTATTTTTGACCAGAGGAAAGTGATCGGTGGTGTGTCCCGAAGCACCTGAGGTCACGGACCAGACTCCGCAGCAGAGTACCACTCGGGGTGGGGTAACCCCGATGAGTTTCACGGAGTTCTCATCTGTCCTCACTGGTTTTTTCAAATCCTCACTCGAGGATATTTTTCCCATTGCTTTTCAGAGAGTGGCCAAGACAGAGAGAGAGAGAGGGAGGGAGAGAGAGAGAGACATTGATTGGTCATCTCCCGCACCTGCCTGGGGGTTGAGCCTGCAACCGAGGTATGTGCCCTTGGCCGGAATCAAACCTGGGACCCTTCGGGCTGCTGGCCGACGCTTTAACCACTGAGCCACACCAGCCAGGGCTGCCTTCTCTTTTTGGTTCAGTGATTTGTCATTTATCTTCTTGCGTTCAGCATCATGCGCTGAGGGCTGTGAATTCGGAGCCCGTGGAGGGGCGGGGTGGAGCCGAGGTGTCCCTGTGAAGAAGCTGCAGGACTGTCTGATGTCTGTTACTTCGATGTACAGTTTGCATGTTCATGTGTGGCTGTGGAGACCCACGCTCTCTTCCTTTTCCTGTCGGCTCCTCTTAGATAAGAAGAAGGCAGACATCGTGTTCCTGTTGGATGGCTCCATCAACTTCCAGAGGAGCAGCTTCCAGGAGGTGCTGCACTTCGTGTCCGAGATCGTGGACACGGTTTACGGACAGGGCGACTCCATCCAGGTGGGGCTGGTGCAGTACAATTCCGACCCCACCGACGAGTTCTTCCTGAAGGAGTTGTCCACCAAGCAGCAGATCATTGATGCCATCAACAAGGTGGTCTACAAAGGGGGGAGGCACGCCAACACCAGGGTGGGCATCGAGCACCTGCGGCTGAGCCACTTCGTGCCGGAGGCGGGCAGCCGCCTGGACCAGCGGGTCCCTCAGATCGCCTTTGTGATCACGGGCGGGAAGTCCACGGAGGACGCTCAGGAGGCGAGCCTGGCGCTCACCCAGAGGGGCGTCAAGGTGTTCGCCGTGGGCCTGGGCCCCGTGGACTCCGTGGAGGTTGGGAAGATCGCGTCCAACAGCGCCACCGCCTTCCGGGTGGGCAACATCCAGGAGCTGTCCGAGCTGAAGGAGCAGGTGTTGGAGACTCTGGACGACGCCATGCACGAGACCTTGTGTCCAGGGGTGACTGACGTTTCCAAAGGTAATCCCCTTTCCGGGCACGTTTTCCACCCTGTCTCCTCCATGTGCATGAGTGACTTAGTTACCTGGGTCCCCAGCGCTGGCCTGTGGCCTCAAGTCGTGGTCACTGCAGGCGTTTCCTCATAGCCATGTGGGCTGGGTCCAGGGGGTCGCCTAGTATCGGATGTTCCTCCAGGGTAAGAGTGGAAGCCTGCCTTTCATGCCCTTGTAAGGTTTATTTTTTCTCCCTACTCTTTAATCCCCCAAATGATTCAGACTTATCAGTCCCTGCTTCTGTTTGTAGTTGCATTAGATCAATTATGTGAGATCAGGGTATTTGAACTCTCAAGTGCCTGGGCTTGGGAGGCATCTAGACAGCAGCTGTGTGTCACTCCAAATTATTAATATCATGAAAAGAGCAAGTGTATGAAAATGGCCCATGGTTTTGGTCCCTAACAGTCAGCACCCGTGTCCCCTGTGAGAGAGAAAGATCTCATTGCTTTTCAAAGCTCATCCACAGGAGATCTCTTTTTCCCCCCGAGCGTGACATCCGGGCCCACGTCCTGGGGCTGCGCCTGCACCTTGGACTCTCCGCGGCCCTTCTCAGAGCTCATCGCCTGCTTTTCCCCTTACAGCCTGCAATCTGGACGTGATCCTCGGGTTTGATGGCCCCAGGGATCAGAATGTCTTCGTGACCCAGAAGGGCCTCGAGTCCAAGGTGGACACCATCCTGAACAGAATCAGCCAGATGCAAAGGCTCAGCTGCAGCGGTGGCCAGATGCCCACAGTGCGGGTCTCCGTGGTGGGCAACACGCCCCAGGGCCCCGTGGAGGCCTTCGACTTCGCCGAGTACCAGCCGGAGCTGTTCGAGAAGTTCAGGAACATGCGGGGCCAGCAGCCCTACGTGCTCACTGCGGACACGCTGCGGGCCTACGGGAGCAAGTTCAGGCAGGCCTCGCCCGACAGCGTGAAGGTGCGCGGGGCCCCGCTCGGCGTCCCGCACCGTTTCGGGATTTGCCTGCTCAGGAGGAATAGCTTGGAGCTCTCTAAACACTGTTCATGTCCGACGGGTTGCTGTGCCTGGGTGTGACAGCCCTTTTCTCAACCCGTCGCAATATTCCAAAATGCAGCATCTCCCGTGTTTTACTAGTTTTATTTAAGGCCTGAAAAAAATCCTCGCAATCAGAAATTAAGCTTGAATGAGTTAAAATGAGAGCGATTCATATTTATAGTCCCACCTATTAAATAGTTCCATTCTCTGTACATATTTCTCTCTCTGTGTACATACATATGTGTTTATTATGTGCACAGACGCGCACCCACACACACGATTTCCAGAAACGGCCTCACGTAACCAGGGGAGTGAGATGAACGCTTTTTATTTTGATCCCTGCTTGTGTTTTTGAGTGAGTCCAGCCCTACAGCACACCCATTCCCTTCCCAGCTGATTAATTGCACAACAACAGAGCTGTGAACATGGGGTGGTTGTGTCTCGACTTTGGCCCTCGGTTTTTCTCAACCGTAAGAGGAGGGGTTCGAACTGGCTAAGCCCGGTTACCTGGAGGTTTCTTCTTAATTTTGGCTGGAGTTTGACTCACCTTTCATTTCCAGGTGGTCATTCATTTCACCGACGGGGCGGACGGAGATCTGGCTGATTTACAAAAGGCGTCGGAAGAGCTCCGGCAGGAAGGTGGGTTCCCGGGCTTTCTGAGAGGGGGGTGGAGACGCGGGGGAGGCAGGCGCCCTGACCTGCCGGGGACACAGGGATTCATGGATCGATTATGGAGTCCTCGGGGCACACTGCCCCCTGGGCATCTTGGCTCTCTGTCGCCCGCCTGGGGCTATGGGAAGGGGCCACCAAGGATGCTATACACAGCACAGACCAGGTCCCGGCACGGGCCCCCCAGGCTCTCGGACCCATTCAGGTGGCGCGACATCCCGAGAGCATGGTGCTTTTGCAAACGAACACGAAGATTTGGTTCATTTAGACACATCCCAGAAACTAGCAATTAAGTTTGTAGCCAAAAGTAGTGCTGCGTTTTCAGCTTGCGGTTATCACGGCTCAGCAGGACTACGGCATGAAGTAACGTGTGCTTTAACGTGAAGTAACGGCATACTTCCCAAACTCAAGGCGGCTGGACCGGCCGCACTGCCGGCTCCCAGAGGGAGCGTGTGTCTGTCCGCGGCTTTGGAACTTGGCAGCTCTGATACCAAACCGTGGGTGCTCGCGCCTGTGTTCATAGGAACCACTTAGTTACCGACGTACCTGAGACCACTGTTCCGAGCTCTTCGGAGTGGCCGACGCGCTTGATTAGACAGGTTTTCAGTTAAAGGCCTAATTATATACTGATGTTTACTTAAAAAAAAAAAGAAAGGAGAAAGCTGCCATGGCTCTGCGAGCCCCCGAGCCCTGGGAACCCGCCTGTCCCCGCAGGTGTCCGCGCCCTCCTCCTGGTGGGCCTCGAGCGCGTGGCCGGCCTGGAGCAGCTGATGCAGCTGGAGTTCGGCCGAGGCTTCATGTACAACCGGCCCCTGCGGCTCAACCTGCTGGACCTGGACTACGAGCTGGCGGAGCAGCTGGTGAGGCTCCCGGCTCCGCACCCCCGTTCCGATGCCACGGCTCCCAGCCTCTCGAGAGGATAGTCCGTTATCCCAGGCCGCGGGGAGGGGCTCCGGGCGGGTGAGTTAACCCACTAAATACCCATGGGTGGGACCTGCCCTGTGGCCGTAACGCGTGTGAGCCCTGGAATCGGAGACACCCGAGAGCAAGAGAGGCAGCGAGCCGGACGGTGGGTCCCCGGGCGAGCGCTGAGGTCGCCCGCTCCTAGGTGGACGCAGGGTCCCCGCCTCGGGAAGCTGCAGGATGGAAACAAGAACACGCGGGAAAGAGACCACGTCTGGGCGGGGAAGGGCTTCAATGTCTTCTCCCCGAGTTTCCTGTGGGGACAATGAAGGCGTCCTCGGGGCTCCCTCGCCCTCAGGAGTTCGCCTTCCCTGGCTGGAGGCTTGGGAGTGCGGGTGGGACCTGGGGGGATGTGGGCCGAGTGGTCAGCCCCGAGGTCCTTGGGTGGTGGCAGCCCGAGGCCTCCTCCGGCCGGTGCCCCAGTCCCTGACCCTGACCCTGACCCTGACCCTGGTCCTGAGAAAGGGCATATGGATCTTTAAAAAAAATTTTTTTTCTTGGTTAGTCGGCGCCTGAGGATATTTTTTCCATTGCTTATCAGAGGGAGTGGAAGGTGGGGGGAGTGAGAGAGGGAAACGCTGATGAGAGTGAGACACATTGATCGGCTGCCTCCAGCATGAGCTCCAGCCGGGGCCGGCGATCGAGTCAGCAACCCCGGCACGTGCCCGTGACTGGGAATCAAACCCGTGACCCTTTGGTGCTCGGGCCGACCCTCTAACCGCTGAGCCACACCAGCCAGCGCTCGATCTTCATGTTGGAACCACCTTCTGACTCGACCATCTGCAATTTGTTTGCTTTGCTCTTTGGAGCTTAAGAATACATGAGTTACGCTCAACATTAGAAACTTGCATATCTATGTTGGAAACTTCTAGAAATAAGGTCCGGGGTGAGGTGACATTGCAAATAAGATTTATCTTACTTTGGTTGCCCTTTAGGGGCCCACGAGTGACTCCCCCCCCCCCCCCC